AAAAAAAAAAAAAAAAAAAAAAGGTGTTGTCATATCATAATCCTGGCTGGTTGGCCTTTCAAACCACACTGAACATTTTAGAGGGACAAATGAGAGAGAGATAACCTAGGGAGCACGAAATTCATGTTAAGTTCACTGTGTGTGAGACAACGAGTTCATCCTCCTGAAGCATAATGTGCAGTAGATATAGTAGTGAGCATTCATAAATGGCACAGACGTGAAGAAAGTGGACAAAGAATGAATGATCATCTTACCTTCTCTGATAAAAATGTCCCTAGCAAAGAACCGCCTAGAACTGCAAGCTGCAGATATCAAAATCGAATAAAAGAACTGGCAACTTGACAAGTGAGAATGATAAATAGATACTGAGGATTTGGTACACGCCATATATGTGTGTATAAATATCTATCCACAAGCACAGATATGCAAGTATATTATTCTAAAGAAGTATTTAACGTGTTCTTTCCATTAAATTCGTGTACTGAACTTGCCCCCAATCGATAGACCCAAATGTAGTACGCGCATAAGATTCAACTTAATATACAACCACAAATAGATCGGTTGGGGAGGAAAACGAAGCATTCTTTATAAGGGTGTGGAAACCTCTCCCTAGCAGACGCATTTTAAAAATCTTGAGGGGAAGCTTGAAAAGGAAAGCCCAAAAAGGACAATATCTGCTAGTAGTGGGCTTTGGCAGTTACAAATAGTATCAAAACTAGACACCAGTATGCCAACGAGGAAGCTGAGTCTTGAAGGGAGGTGGACATAAGACGGTGTGCCAGCAAGGACGCTAGGCCCCGAAAGTGGGTGGATTGTGAGATCCCACGTTGGTTGGAGAGGAGAATGAAGCATTCTTTATAAGAGTGTGAAAACCTATCCCTAACAGATACGTTTTAAAAACCTTGAGGGACCTGAAAGGGAAAGCTCAAAGAGGACAATATCTGCTAGCGGTGGACTTGGGTAGTTACCGTTTGTGATTCTGTAGACACGCAAAACTGTTTACCTCTATCTTACTGATCAACTTTCCCACTGAGAAGTCTGGTTTAATCAACAGGTTAAAGTAATGTTCAAACAAAAATGAAGTAACTGGATGCTGTTAAAAGTATAGAAGTTACCAATGTTGCAACACCATGACCAGCTAGTGCACCTCCAATGACTCCGAGGGGTGAAGAAGCAGCAGCAAGGGCTACATAATGCCAGAAAAAATATAGCTTTGAGTTCAGATGTAGGAGGAAGTACTAAATCGGAAAAGCACTTGCAATTTCTTGTCAACACCAAATTCAATGATTTAAATAAAAGACTACAATCTTGGTCCACATAAACTATTGAATGAGGAAAAAGAAACTTAGCGCTTGCTTGGGTTTTCCCAGAAGCTTATGCCAAGGACACTTTTATATAAAATGTTAATGGTTAATTCTTTCTTAACTCTAAAGAACAGTGTGGAAAGATGAATACAGTTTACATTTGTCAGTCTAGTTCATTTGTATTTCGATCAATCTTAATCTTCTCTTCATTAACAAACAAATGAGGTTATAAGCGAAAGGAGAAAGGAGGGAAAACTACTTGGCCATCCTATCATATAAACAATCAAATTTCAAGGTTTAATATTACAGTTTTAGTAGAAGATTTCAATAAAATAATTTGATACAATAGACTTTCCAATTACCAATTGTAGAGAAAAATGACTTGTCGCCCCACTCAGCAACAAATACTAATGCAAAGGTGCTGACGACAGTACTGGCAGCAGCTAATATCCCAGCACCATTTCCTGAGAACTTTGAGACAGCCAACTCTGCCTGATTCAGATTTTAAAACAAAACTGTTATTTTCTGACATACTTTCAGCTACTGAATCCAATCACATAGGTACATCTGGTTTTTGGTGACTTTGTAGAATTCTCTAAAGGGAAAAAAGTTGGTGTTTACAGTAGTTTCGAAACTATTTTTCTAGACCTTCAATATTTACCATTTCAAAATAGTTCAAATAGTATGTTTTCCTTTTTGGATGTGAAAACATATAATTTTCGTTAAATCATAGTAGTTATTACATTTATCTAAGGTATCTTCCTGTATTTCATACCCTCATGGCGGTTAGCCACTACACCAAGGGTTAGAATACTAAATTTTTTGTAGGCCACTGTCACAGACGTCAGACATTAGTATAAGGGATTACCTCCTTCTGCTCATCTTCTGCCTTTAGTCCATCGCTTGAGCTGGCATCAAGCAAAGTCGTAACTCCAAAATACACCTGAAATCAGTCACAATCATTCAATTACATCCGTAAAAAGCATTAGAGTTTGAATTAGGTTATTTTCTCAAGTATGTAGCTACTTGTGTGTAGCAAGCAATGAAGTTGTTTTGTCACTAAACGACAGTACTGACCAAAAGACAGACAGCTGCAATATCATCAACTGGTAAATCACTACCACCAAGCCTGTGATCATGTATAAGTAATGGAGATAAAGAATCAAATATGTTGATGATAAATGGAATTTTTTAAGAGGAATCGAGGTTAGATATTCACTCAAACCATAAATTGAAAAAATAAATGAAAGATCTCAATCCACGATTTCATTTGGGACCATATGTGTAAATCTCAGCCATTTTGGATTGATGGTGCATTAACAATTTAACAGAACAGTTTAAGAAATCAAACTCTTGACTTCTTCATATGGCTTATCACAAGGAACGTACCTGAATGGAAGAACCTCATCAACATAGTGAAAAGTTCGTCCAAGAACAACAGATATGATGGTCATTACCCTGCCATGGACAAACAGCTCTTGAAAAATTTGATAAGAAATTTTCCATGTTTTCTTGAGATATCAACCACAGAGCATCTTCGTATACAATACCTATGACTCGTCTGTTATTTAATTAAAATAATTGCCAGGCGCACCAATTTATTCATGATATTTCGCATTTTTCTAGTTGATTATTTTTAATTATAAAGGTTCTTAAAGAAAAATCTTGAAGTATATTGAGTTACTATGCACAAAAATAAGGAAATTGCAAGCTCATGGTTACCAACGTGATGCTCCTGCTAAATGTCATTAGGTAAATAATTCTATGTCAAATGGGATTGGATAGCAGATACGAATTTGTCCGAAGGGGTGCGGCAATGAAAAACAAAAATACATAGTCAGCCATGGTGAAATAACATACGCAAGTGCACCAAAAGTTCCAGCAAAAACAATAGCAGCAGAGTTCCTAGCTGCTAGAAGAGCCTACAGAAGACAGTAAACATAGAATTATGAAAAGCACCATACCCTATCATAATCAGGACAACAGGTCAGAAAAATAAATAATTCAAGCGATAACCGCCCAAGCCCACCACTAGCAGATATTGTCCACTTTGGTCCGTTACATATCGCCGTCAGCGTCACAGATTTAAAACACGTCTGCTAGGAAGAGATTTCCAAACCCTTATAAAAAATGTTTCGTTCCCCTCTCCAACCGATGTGGGATCTCACAATCCACCACCCCCTTGGGGGCCTAGCGTCCTCGCTAGCACACCGCCCGGTCTCTAGTTCTGATACCATTTGTAAGAGCCCAAGCCCACCACTAGCAAATATTGTCCGCTTTGGTCCATTACAAATCGCCGTCAGCCTCACGGTTTTAAAACACATCTCCTAGGAAGAGGTTTCCACACCCTTATAAGAAATGTTTCGTTCTCCTCTCCAACCGATGTGGAATCTCACACAAGCCCATTTGTATTAACTCCAAGTTCAGCAGACTACAAAGTTTCTTTTTCCCACCAGAAATTAATCATCATTTGGCACTTACTGCAATGAAAAAAGTCTTGTCCCCTAGTTCTGAGAAAAAGATTAGCAAAAACGCCTGCATAAAGAAAGAGTGATAACATAAGTATGATCCTTCAATTTCACATCATACTCCAAGCATAAATTCATTACTCTAAACTTTAGCTCAAAATCAACCAATAATATTATAATTTTATTTGCAGTCAAAGACATACGACTTTCAAAACTGTACACGAGATGTCAAAGTTCCACCACGAACTCTCCACAAAGAAACCAAACTACAGCTAGGCTTCCTTCAGCATTAAAAATACAGATTCATAAAAGTTATAAGGAGTGATTTACTAACTGAAGCAAAACCTGTGCTAATATCACCAAGGTCTCCCAGAAGAGGGACTGACTGCAACCCAGTAGCAACATCTGAACCGGCTAATGCCTGCTGAGAGTTTTGAAGTATGAAGAAACCAGACAGGAGCATAAACTTCAGAACTGAACTGCTGACTGCACTGCTAGATTCATGGTTATCTATATTTTTATGAATTCCCTTTGCCAATGACTTCTCAAAGGCCCAAGGATTATCCATAACAGTTACTGATCTTGTAGATAATTCACAGCTGCAGAAGTCACGACGACGAAGTTCCTGGAAGACAATTTATCTCAATGGACGAGTATGCATGAAATGAACCTGAAAATGTTACATTTTATACGTCCACATCTATAAAAGAATATATAGGTAACTAAAAGAGACATAAGAAACTGTCTTACATTATCATATTTTTAACCCCCCAAAACAATAAACAGAACCAATTACAGAGGGGTTCGTCACAACCACACACGATTACATGTTCCAAAATTACATGTACACAATCTAAGTACACTACCAATTCCATTAAGCTTACATATGTATTCAGAAGTATAAAAGTATCTAATTTTTAAGTTCTCTCAACGTAAATTGGATTGCAAAGAAAATGAGAAAGGAAAAAAGGGAAATGGGAGAAAATTACTTGGCGATCATAATATTTCGAAACCACTTCTGATTTGCGCCAATACCGCTCTTTGCGAGTTGTGGCCTGGCAACCACTTGAAAACCTATATCAATAAAGCAAGAACAGATCAAAGAATTCATACCTTCTCTGAAGTCTGAATGGCATTACATTTCAGAGATCATTTAAAGAAGTGTGATGAATATATAGCTCAATTTGCTTCATCTCCTACAGGAGCTCAGTCTTCAAGAAATCTCTCAAAATAAACCAGTCCCAAACACACACACATCAATCAGGCAGACACCGCAAAACTGAATACGCATCTCATTCTCTCCCACAGTTTGTTTCTAGCAGACATTCATTCTACCCTACAAACAAAGAATCTAAAGCCGCTATTCCCTGATGTTCTCCGCTCAGATATCAAAACAAAGACCTAATTCATACATACATAGATACACAAAAATCAAAAGAATCAGAATTACCTGAAAAGAACGGGAACAGATTCATGAAGCGAGAGTTTAGAAGACAGCTTCCTGCAAGGAGAGCTAAGAGAAACCAAACAAGTAGGTACGGATTTGAGAGATGAAGAGGGTGAAGGAGGACGAAATGTGAACTGTGAAAGAGTTATGGCTGGCATTGTTCGTCGATCCCCTCCGTTTCTGCTCTGAATCTTTCAGTCGAAAACGAAAGGTCGAGAGAGGGAGGGAGTGAAGAAATGCCAAGCCGGGAAGAAGGAGCAACGACCGACTGTGAGGCGCCAACGGTCCCAACTGCACTTTATCCTTTTATCCGTTCCCATTGGGCCTACGGGCTTACGGCCCAATATTGAGCTGCATGGGCCATCCAGCCCTTTGCGATATCAAACGACTGAATTAAATAAAATAATAATAAATATAAAATGAGAATAATAAATTATAAAAATGGCTGATAAAAAACATAGCTCGAAAAGGTATGAACATCGAAGTCAATGTCTTGTTCGATGGAAAGACAAAAGTAGACTCCCTTTGACTTTCACTCCGATCGGCATACCTCTCAACCACCCGCTCATTGTCCTCCCTTCTTTCTCAAGTGAACATCTACTTGTCCAACTGACCGAGGCTATAAAGCCAATGGCTATTGCAAGTACGATCTAACAAATGCCCATAAGACGATCTAACAAATGCCCATAAGACTCACTCAGGGTTTAAATACGATATCTAAGACTTTATCGATACAGGGAAGGTGGAGCCAATAAAGGCAAACCATCCCAATGTAACTATCAATTATGTATCCACTCATGTTGTTCGTTCTCCTGCCAATATAAATATGTACACGGATGAAAACTCCAGTCGAGAAGAAGGTCACTCACAAATTGTAACCATCCAAATCCACTACTAACAGATATTATTCGCTTTAGTCCGTCACGTATCGTCGTTAGTCTAACAGTTTTAAGACGCATCTACTATGGAGAGATTTCCACACATTTATAAGGAATGATTCACCTTGTTCTCTTTGGACTTTCCCTTTCGACTTAACGATTTTTAAAACATGTCTATTGGGGATGGGTTTTCACACCCTTATCAGGAATACTTTGTTTCTCTTTCCGATTGATGTTGGATCTCACAATCTATCTCCTTGGAGCCCAACGTCCTTGCTGGCACACCACTCAGTGTATAAGTTGAACTGAATATCTGAACTTGTTCTTACTTTAGCACATGTGAATTAGTATAAAACTAAATTTAAGTAATATTTTTATCTACAAAAGTTACAAAATTTAAAACATTAATCTGTGTTTGATGGGACAGTTCTAGAAAAGGGTGGTTTGGCAGTTAATTTGCAAGAATGTTTGAAGACATTTATGACACATAATGGATCCACTCACCTATCTCAATGCGAATTAAATTCAACGGTCCTGATCAAAGATGAACATTAATTTCCTTAATTAAATCAAAACTTTATCTTAATTCTAGTCTTTTAAGTATTAATCAAATCCAAAAACGTGTGTGTTTATGGCATTGTTCTTGTCGGAGTGAGAAATCGAGAAAGCTAACGACAGTGTGCAGTAGTTCCACTCCAGTAGCTAACTTTTTATTCCTTTTGTTGTTATTTATGAAGATTGAGCCTAAGATTTATCGACCATTTTGTTTAAAAATGTAATCTTGGTAAGCTAAAACACGAGAGATCATGGATATATTTGGCCCTACCCCTATTCTCCCTTACGTTAGAGCTACCATAACTTGGACTCATTATGTTGAGGATTGTTGAGAGGAAGTCCTACGTTGACTAATTTAGAGAATGATCATGCGTTTATAATTAAGAAATACATCTTTATTTGTACGAGGTTTTTTGAAAAAACACAGAGCAAAACCATGAGAGTTTATACTTAAATGGACAATTTCATATTATTGTGGAGATTCGTGATTCCTAACATGATATCAGAAAAGGAGTCGAGCTTTGATTAAGATAAGGCTATTTGAGGGCTCCATAGGGCCCAGGGGAGTCTCTATAATGGACTCTAGAGAAAGAGTTGAGTGTCAAATAAATAATGCAGTTTGTTCGAGAACTCTAGTGAAAGAGTTGAGTCTTGATTAAGGGGAGGTTGTACAGTAAACTCTAGAGAAAGAGTTGAGCCTTAATTAAGGAGAGGTTGTACATTGAACTCTAGAGAAAAAGTTGAACCTTGATTAAGGGGAGGCTGTTCGAGGGTTCCATAGGCTCGGCTGTTTGAGAGTTCCATAAGACTCAGGAGAGACTCTATAGTGTATTTTGTTCGAAGGGAGGATGGTTGGAAGGGAGTTGAACCTTGATTAAGGGGAGAATGTTTGAAGGTTCCATAGGCCTCGGTTGTTTGAGGGTTCCATAGGACTCAGGGGAGGCTCTATAGTATACTTTGTTCGAAGGAAGGATTGTTGGGAGGGAGTCGAAAACGAGCACGGTTGAAGAGTTTTTGTTTAAATCTTTTTTTTTTTTTTTTTGGGCGGGTTAAATCATCACGGGTGGCCCCAGCTAGATGCCGAACAGGTAATACTAAACCCTTATGCGCCAGGCTTTATAGGCCACCATGGAAATGACTCGGATTGGATCACAGCCCAAGGTTGAGTAGAAGGGTGGCAGGTAGAAAAGAAGAGAAATTGGAGCAAAAAAAGGGAACCCCACCTGGAAATCTCAAAGCTTTGTCGTGAATTCTTAAACCCCAGAAAGAAATAGGGTCAGAAAAGGGATGGATGAGAGAGAAAAGGGATGGATGAGAGAGAAAAGGGAAGGAGAGAGAGTTTTATTTATCGAACAAAATGGAAAAAGGGCTAAGTGGGGGCAGAAAAGGAGGAAAAATTGGGGCAAAAAGGGACGAAATGTGGACCTTGCACTCCATTGCTTTAATGGAGGATTTGGGCTCCTCCGGCTCTTCCTCAACAGACCATCATTAGCCGAACAGACAACCCTTTTCACCATTATACTTGTTACTTCTTCTATCTCTGCCAGACGGCTAGCGGCGGCCCTTTGGGAGTTTCATCAATACCTTTCACTTCCTAAAATGCACAGAGCTTCCAATAATGGCGTTTCTAATGGCGGTGGTGGTGCTGCTGATTCAAGGCTCATCCGCCGCCGCTACTTCCATCATCATCATCACTCTAATAGGGACAAAGCCCTTGACCTTTCCAATTTTCTTGGTGATCCTTGCCCCAGCTCTCCTGAACAGGTCTGATCTTTGGTTGGATGTTCTGTTTTCTTTCAATTTTTGGTCTAAAACTGAGCTGATTATCTCTAGGTGTGTGGATAATGTTCTGAACTGTGTAATGATTGGTTTGGTCCCTTTTATGATGTTCCTTCTTGAGATTTGGCTAGAACAGGATTTCCTTTCATGTCCCTTTCTTTTTTGAGTGAAAAGATCTGGTTTGTGGCAAGCTGTTTGTTTCTAGCTGGTCTGTTCTTAATTTTGCTGGTTAGAAGATGGGTTTCCAATGGGGTTTAAATATTAATTGGTATTGATATCTATTCTACCTATAGGTTCCATTGTTTTGATATCTATTTCGAGAGGTTTAGACATTGAAAACCATTTGAATTAAGCTTAGAAATACTACTTGACTCGTGAGTTTCATTGTTTTGATATCTATTTCTAGAGGTTCTTTTCAAGATACGAGCCAAAACTTGAAAGCTAAAAAAAGTAGTTCTTATAACATAGTTTTTGTTTTTGGAATTTGGGTGTGAATTCAAGCGTTTCCTTATGAAAGATGAAGATTATCGTACATAATTGGGAGATCTCATATTGGTTGGAGAGGGAAACGAAACATTCCTTATAAGAGTGTGGAAACCTCTTCCTAATAGACACGTTTTAGAATCGTGAGGCTGAGGGCGATATGTAATGGGTCAAAGCGGACAATTTCTGTTAGTGGGGTTTGGACTGTTACATATGGTATCAAAGCTAGACACCGGGCGGTGTGCCAGCAAGGACGCTAGGCCCTCAAGGGAGGTGGATTGTGAGATCCCATATCGGTTGAAGAGAGGAACGAAGCATTCCTTATAAGGGTGTGGAAACCTCTTTCTAGTAGACGCGTTTTAAAATTGTGAGGCTAACGGCGATACGTAACGAGCCAAAGCAAATAATATCGGTTGGCAGTGGCCTTGTGCTGTTACAAATGGTATCAGAGCCAGACATCAGGCGGTGTGCCAATGAGGATGTTGAGCATCCAAAGGGGATGAATTGTGAGATCCCACATCGGTTGGAGAGTGGAACAAAGCATTCCTTATAAGGGTGTGGAAACCTCTTCCTAGCATACGCGTTTTAAAGTCGTAAGGCTGACGGCGATATGTAACAAGCCAAAGCGGATAACATCTATTAGTGGTGGGCTTGGACTATTACAAATGGTATCACAACCAGACACCAGGCTGTGTGCCAGCGAGGACGTTGGGCCTCCAAGGGGGGTGGACTGTGAGATCCCACGTCAATTGGAAAGGGGAACAAATCATTCCTTATAAGAGTGTGGAAACCTCTTCCTAGCGATACATAACGGACCAAAGCAGATAATATCTATTAGCGATGGGCTTGGACTGTTATTCTTTACATAAACTAGCTTGTTGCAGAGTGTAAACTCGTGTTTTTGTTACACATTTGGTGTTCGAGTTACCGACTTATCTGAATCGTCGTCATCGTCCACTTCCTCTTTTACTATTGTTCAAGATCTTCATCAAATGCTGTATTTATTCTTTGCTATTCATAATTATTTATTCTTTTCTTATGTGTTCTCATTGTTCATAACTCTTCCAATGGCAGCCAACAAGTGCAAGCAGTTTAAGGAGGCATGTTGCTGCATCATTATTGCAACATCATCAATCAATTGAAAGGAATAATCAAGCTCTTCAGCCTGTATCTCCAAGCTATGGAAGCTCCATGGAGGTACAATTTCTTCTCTTTTCCTCCTTTAATGAGTATTTGTTCCCGTTCGATTTTGATCTTTCGTCTGAAGAATCCGTGTTCGACTGATCTATTCAAATGGGTAGCATAGAGTGAAAAACATGGAAATGAGCTAATATTAGCTTTGATTGTAATGGATACGGTCGGTTCTCTTTGAATTGCACCGCCATCATTCAAGAATCAGGCTCGTCGTTGAGCTACCCTCTTTTGGTTCTCCAATCTGACCTCTAATGTGAGATCCCACATCGGTCGGAGAGGGAGACGAAACATTCTTCATAAGGGTGTGGAAACCTCTCCCTAGTAGATGTGATTTAAAACCTTGAGGGGAAGCCGGGAAGGGAAAGCCTAAAGAGGACAATATCTGCTAGCAGTGGGTTTGGTTTGTTTCAAATGGTATCAGAGCCAGACACCAGATGGTGTGCTAGCAAGGATGCTGGCCCTGAAGGGGGGTGGATTGTGAGATCCCACATCGATTGGGGAAAGGAACGAGTACCAGCAAGGACGTTGAGCCTCGAGGGGGGGGG